CGACAGGAAGATAGTAAAGCAACGCTCTACTACCTCTGTCAGGGGAGAATGTCCCTGACAACAACATCAGCACAAAGATGCGCACCCGCTGCTCTCGGGTGGTCGCATCGTCATCAAGAGCCGCTGCCAGCGTTGAGCGGCAAATTCCTCTAGCACTAAACTGAGTCGTCTTGACCTCAGCTCGGGCCCGAATAGCAATCGGCCCCAACATCTCCTCGACCTCCAAAGAAAAGACGTCAATTCCACTGTCAAACGGCAGTGGCATAGAGGTGAACTCCAGTCCTGTGATGAGACTGAAGTCCGTAGGGGTGACCATCATCTCGCCCCAGGAGAAATGGAAAGTGTTGGTGGTGTCCCAGAAGAACTCCACCAAAGAGCGCACTACGTGATGACCCCCGCTGGAGGCAACCATAGCCTCGGAGGTCTCAAACAGAGTAGCTAGCCTGCAAGACTCCCATAGGAGTCTCGTCTCAAGATCCCTTGCGATGTACATCTTGTACAAATTGCCTAAACCGTCACAGCCAGAGCCGTGATGCCGCGTCCTCCCGGGCTCGGTGCCCCGTCTCACCCTCTCAGAAATGTGGTGGACAGGGGCGAAAAACAAGGTACGCTCATCCTACTCCGGAAGCCGACCAAGCGAAGTGGAAGGCGTGATGTCATCCTCTACGGGCTCATGCTCCCGTCTAGTGTTTCGGGACCGTGAACCCGAGCCTCGTCGTCTAGCCATGCTACATTGTGCAGAATCATCATGAATAAGGTTCAATAGTATCTAAGGTTCGCCTAGCCGCATGATACTATGTTCGCAAAAACAGAGTACGTAGTACTAAAACAGAGAACAAATTCAAATTGAGCATGACAACATTTTTCAAGCAATTAAACAATTTCTTGCAACACTATAGTGATTGTTGTGACAAATTGAACAAGAATTGCTAGCAAAAACATCAAGAACAAGTCACATTGTTCTTCACGACCTTAAGAGGTCCAACAATGGCAAATTGCTCATTTCTTCACCAATTTGAGTCAAACAAGTCTCAAATTACTCCCAAGGAAATATACAAACATAATCAAGCAATTTCATGGCATAAAATTTGACAAACAAAGCAAATTGAGCATTATAAATTTCGAATTTTCATAAAATTCGTGAATATTCATGCCAAGAATTCATAAAAACTGATGTGAGTTTGAAGAAAACTTACATAGATCAGGAAAATAGATGAAAAAAGCTTTGATTTTCAACAAATTTGAGCGAATTCGGTTGAGAAACGAGCAAGCAATGAGTAATTGAAGCTTTCGGTTTCCCCGAGCAGTTTTGCGACGAACAGAGCAACGAAATGAAGAGAAAATGGGTATTTAAAGAAATTCCCGTGCTGGCGCCAGTCCCTATGCATTGGCATCACAAGTTAGTCTTGGCGCCTGGCGCCAATTTAAGCGCCTGACGCTAAGGTCAGCAGTGTGGCGCTGATGGTTTTTCAGCGACGCCAAATCACCAGCCATCTGATGAGGTTGAGCTAGCCTTCTGCAACATAATTTTGGGTTCCTTGGTATGCCAGTTAGCCCCTCTAAGCGATTTGACATGATTTTGTAATCGGCTTGATTACATAAAGTGATCGACCTGATAAGAGATCGTCTCACTTAGCTTAATGCGCCTAAGCATTGGCTCATTAGCAAAAATCACCGACATACAGGTTCAAAGCAACGGGAATGCCGATGTACAGGCATAGCGGGAGCAAAGTTCAGGCGAACTTTTAAAGATCGACAGGCGTGGATCTTCGGTAATTTCCTTTAGGAAAATGTCGCATCAAATGAGGATGACTTCAAGAGAAGATGTCTTCGATAGCGTTCCCTAGCTTGCGGAGAGTTGTCACAAACAACTGGAGATTGTTTCAAGAGAAATAATCTTCGATAGTTTTCCCTAGGATGTGGAATATTATCAATACGGATGAGGATTATTTCAAGAGAAATAATCTTCGATAGTGTTCCCTAGGATGTGGAAATATTATCAATACGAATGAGGATTATTTCAAGAGAAATAATCTTCGATAGTGTTCCCTAGGATGTGGAATATTATCAATACGGATGAGGATTATTTCAAGAGAAATAATCTTCGATAGTGTTCCCTAGGATATGGAATATTATCAATGCGGATGAGGATTGTTTCAAGAGAAATAATCTTCGATGGTATTCCCAAGGATGTGGAGTATTATCAAAGCGGAAGAGGATCGTTTCAGGCGAAGCAATCTTCTAATTTGGAAACAGTTACGGGCGTAGCAGTTTTCAAGCGGGATGGCATTCTCTAGCTTGTAGGAGGTCATCAAAACAGGACACAACAACAATCGGTTACTTTCAGAGACGTGTGCTCGACGGTGCAAGATACGCATTTCTTAACTCTTTTATTTGTTTAACTAATGCTAGTTTTGCAGGTATCGGCGTTACAAGATTGATTTAGGATCGCAGAACGTTCTGAATCATTCTCCGTCCCTATCAATACTTTGACTTTTGTTTTCGAAACTTGCGTTTCTCCAAACTCAGTCAAAGTGGGGGCTTCTGTAGACACCCATTTGTGTCTCCCCAAAACCAAACCTAGTGATGAGTACCTTTCACGTCGAATCATAATCGAATGAAACGAAAGTGTGGGAAGGTCTAGTGTTGCGGATAGTTTTTTTTTTATTTCTTTTCTCTTCTCTCTGTTTTTGAAAACTTATTTTAATAAAACAGCCAATACAGTTTGGTTGGTCCATGATATGGGTCCAATGGTAGTGTAGTTGGATGGGGCTTGCAAAGACCTTTCCAACGATATATTATAAGTCCAATTCCGATGAATATTGAGGAAGTTATGGCCAATTTATGTACGACCCAATGATCTAGGGGAGGGCCTAATATGATTTAACATTCCTAATATAATTAGGAATGGTTTTAGTATTCTAGATTCTTCTAGAAGGTTCTTTTCGTTCCTAATTCAATTAGCATTGATAAGTTGACTTTGTTGACTTTTCAGAGTTTTAATCAAAATCAAATAGCATTTTCGGAGAAATTATATTAATTTATCCTCCAGTACGGTAAACTTATCGAATTTTCGAAAACGCGTTGAAATCAAGCTTGGCGTCCAACCCCAAGCCTTGGCGCCTGGAACTAGGCTTGGGGCCTGGCGCTAGCCATTGGCGCCTGGCGCCAGCTAGCCAGGGTTGGCGCCAACTCTGTTTTCTGAGCGTCAGACTCTGTTTTGTTAAATTATCCTTTTTGGCTGATTTTCTCTATAAATATCGTATTAAAAACTCCGTTTTCATTCACGAATTTTCATCATTCATCACCAATTATCATCATCTACATTCATTCACCAATTCTCACGATCATCTACATCTACATTCATCTACAATCAGTTTTAATTAGCATTCTTTAATCTTTCAATTCTTTCTCCTTTTCTCCTAAACTTGGTTTTTTTTATACAAAATTCCGCATTGACAAGATCTAGAAACACCTAGCCATATTCGAAGTTACCTTTGCCCTAGACGTGGAAGGCTTTAATTTCTGAGGGTTTGGTCCCAAATCTCTCTTTCAATTATTTAATTTAATTGTTTGTTTATTATTTTCCTTGAAGTTACTAACGTGTGTATTTTGTTATTAGAAAGAGGTATGAGGCATCAAAGTAAGTGTTTTTATGGTTTTAATTGATATTATGATGTAGAAATCATGTTTATATTGTTATTATGATTTTCCTAGTATCATGTCTAGGGTAATTGTAATATTAACTATGATTGTTACGATTCTTCCTATGTTCTTCCTAATATTTATGATTGTTAGTATCATGTTAGGGTTAAAGATTTGATTTTTATTGTTTAGTGACATGCTAGGGTTTGTTATTAATCTTGTTAGTATCATGCCTAGGATCTTGCTATTATTATTATGCTTTAATATTAACATGAATATGATGATGATTATTTTATTTATAATTATTATCATGATATTGATTATTTATTATGTTGCTTGATATCTATTGTTATTGCTTGATCACACCTTTATTGCATGTATAAAGGGAATTTGTACTTGTAATCACACTTAATAAGATAATTAATAATTTTGTTTAGGGTTAACTATGATTATAATTTCAAGTGATCGCTAATAATAGATTTATTTGTGCACTAAATTCAACCAACATAGATTAAACAGGTTTAGGGTTAATCCTATTGATTGCATGTTAATTAAAAAGCGCACATGAATACGATCAGAATAAAGTAGAGGCCTATTATTAGGGCAGGTTCAATCTCTTTTAGGTTGGGTTTGTACCTTCATCCCCGAACCCTTATTTGGTTCTAGACCTTATGGAGTTGACGATCTCTTGGATCGTTAAGGGGTGTAACCTTCACCTCGTGAACGGTTTACAAGTTCCCTAAAAAACTTGTTGGCGACTCTTTTGCTCTATCTTCTTCCCTTTTGGACGCCACCGTACTTTAGTATATGATCATAGTGGGGTTCAAGATAGTGGGATTTAAAGGCTTGAAATTATTCCCTACCCCTATCATTCTGTTGTCCTTAGAGAACAACTTAGATTGCTCCTGAATTATTTTCTTTGCTGACTATGGATTGTTATTGGAAGTTTGGTTGGAGTGTCAGTGATGCTTGGGGACAATCTGAGTTAACCATAACATAGTGCAATGACATTTTTAGAGCACTATATTTTGTAAAATAAAATGCATGTTTCATTTTATAATAAAGGATGTGATTACATATTTAAAGTGACCTAATGTCATAAGCAAAACATAAGCAATAAATACATGTCAAAATATTAAACAATTGACCCCTATTCACTAGTGTGCATTGGCATTTTAAGTAGATGCCTCATGATCATTGGCCATAACAGGCCTATATGCCTCTGTGTTTGTAGTTGCTTGTGTGTTGTGTTAATCATTTGCCTGTGTGTTGTCAATGTTGACCTCTTCAGTGTCTTTCTTATCATCTGAGTCTGGCTTATCCATGTACACTCTCTCCCATGCATCAATCACAGCTCACATAGGAGCTTCTATAGGATCTTGTAGTCTGCCCTCTCTTTCCAGCTTTTCTTTGTTAACATGTGGAGGTTCAAACCTGTTAGAACTTTTAATTTTCAGAATTTGGTTCATGGTGTGGCACAGAGTTACCCACACCTTCAACAACCTTATAGGATGTAGCTCACTGAATGCATCTTCCACAACCTTTATCAACTGGTCTGGAGTCTTAGCCATTTTCTTGTGTTGAAGTGATTGGATTCTTCTGAAAAATCCCAAGTCCAGAACATTCATGCCTGGACTGTTTGGTGACTTCTGAGTTAATGTAAAAGTAAACCCTGACTATTCACAATGTTCTTGCCAAACTGCATAATCTTGAGTAATATGAGCCTTTGTATTATCTTGCTGAATGTATATTGTGTGGTGTTGATCTATTTGAGGCCATTTTTCCATAATTGTTGGAATGACCTTTTCAATCAACATCCACCTTGACACATCCCTGTTGATTGGATCAAAAACCTTTGTGACCGTATCTCCTTTCTTCCTGTATTTTGAGGACCTAAGTGTTGGCTCCTTTTTTGCAAAAGGAAAAATGCTTATTTTCCCATAAAAAATGACTTCCTTTTGTGCATTGTACCACGATTTTGCAACTTCTCCTTGGAACATGAATTTGGGAATGAACTTGGCTAATTGCATTACTCTATTTGGACCTCTTTCTCCTTTTGCTAAGTATGACCTATATGTTTTTTTGGTCAGTGTAAATCACTTTTCATCAATGTGCACTGTGTTTTACATTGACTGGTGTAGAAACCCATTTGTGTCTCCCCAAAACCAAACCCGGTGATGAGTACCTTTCACGTCGAATCATAATCGAATGAAGTGAAAGTGTGAAAAGTCTAGTGTTGCGGATAGTTTTAATCTCCTTTCTATTCCCTCTATTTTTGAATTTTTTTTTTAAGAAAACAGTCAATCCAGTTTGGTTGGTCCATGATATGGGTCCAATAGTAGTGTAGTTCGATGGGGCTTGACGAGAGCTTTCCAATGATATATTATAAGCCCAATTTCGATGAATATTGAGGAAGTTATAGCCAAATTACTAAACTAGGCCCGGTTTGAGCCTTGTATGCGGCCCAATGATCTAGGGGAGGGCCTAATATAGATTTATCCTTCCTAATGCAATTAGGAATGGTTTTAGTCTTCTAGATTCTTCTAGAAAGTTCTTTTCATTCCTAATTCAATTAGCATTGATAAATTGACTTTTGTTGACTTTTCAGAGTTTTAATTAAAATCAAAGAGCATTTTTTGAGGGATATACAATTTTATCCTCCTGTACGACAATTTTTATCTGATTTTTAGAAAACGCGTGGATTTATGAAATCAGCGCCAAACGCCAGCTGTAGCGCCTGGCGCTACGCTTGGCGCCTGGCGCTACGCTTGGCGCCTGGCGCTACGCTTGGCGCCTGGCGCTACGCTTGGCGCCTGGCGCTACGCTTGGCGCCTGGCGCTAGCGTTGACACCTGGCGCCAACAGCCAGAGTTGGCGCTGGTTCTGTTTTTTGTGCACCAGACTCTGTTTTGATAATTTTATCTTTTTGGCTGATTTTCTCTATAAATAACGTATTAAAATCTCCGTTTTCGACAACTAGTTTTCATCAATATTCACCTACAACCAATTTTCATTCTCTCATTCTCTAATCATTCACCATCTCTCTCTCTCTCTTTTTCTAAATTAGCTTTTTACATACAAAATTCCGCATTCTCAAGATCTAGAAACACCTATCCATATTCGAAGTTGCCTTCACCCTAGACGTGAAAGGTTTAATTTCTGAGGGTTTGGTCCCAAATCTCTATTTCAATTATTTAGTTTAATTGTTTTGATTTTTATTTTCCTTGAAGTTACTAACGTGTGTATTTTGTTATTAGAAAGAGGTACGAGACATCAAAGAAAGTGCTTTAATGGTTTTTATTGATATCATGATGTAGAAATCATGTTTAGATTGTTATTTTGATTCCTAGTATCATGTTTAGGGTAAATTTAATATCAAATATGATTAAAAGTATGATGCTTCATATGTTCTTCCTAATATTTATGATTGTTAGTATCATGTTAGGGTTAAAGATTTGATTTTTATTGTTTAGTGACATGTTAGGGTTTGTTATTAATATTTTTAGTATCATGCCTAGGATCTTGCTATGCTTTAACATGATTATTATTATTAATATTAATATGATTGTTATTATTATTATTATTATTATTATTATTAATATTAATATTATTGTTATTATTATGTTGCTTGATGATTTTATTGTTATTGCTTGATCACACCTTTTATGCATGTTTAAAGGGAATTGGTGTTTGTAATCACGCTTAATAAGATAAGTAATAATCTTGTTTAGGGGTAATATGATTATAATTCAAGTGATTGTCAATAATAGATTTATTTGTGCATTAATATTCAATCAACATAGATTAAACATGTTTAGGTTTAATCCTATTGATTGCATGTTAGTCAAAAAGCGCACATAAATATGATCAGAATAAAGTAGAGGCCTATTATTAGGGCAGGTTCAATCTCTTTTAGGTTGGATTTGTACCTTCATCCCCGAACCCTCTATTGACTAAACCATATCCCGAACTTTAGAGAACTAGAGCCATGGTTAGGTTGCAAACTCATTGCATCATATTGTGCCTACTTGACTAATTGTGCATTATTTGTTGTGCATATATTCTATGTTTTCTTAACCGTTTGCTTGACTTATGTTAAGATTAAATAAATTAATGACTTAAAGAACTTTGCCTAATTAATTAACCCTCTATTAATTAATTGATTAATTAATTTGAGTCAATAAAGTCTAATAGTTTAATTAGAATTGACCTAGTACGACTTTAGGCATACCCCTCTTGATTAATAACACCAAAAACAGTCTCAGATTGAAGCTCCAGCATTGGCGCCAAAGTCTGGACTGTAGCGCCACTCTGTGGGGTGTGGCGCCTGGCGACAACTCTATCGTCTGGCGCTATACTACACAGTGCGACGCTAGTCCTGTCGTTTTGCCGACAGTTCGGATTATTGGTCGAGTCATCACCTAGTGTCTAATTAACCAGTTTGTTAAATAATTCGGTTAAGTTTCGCTGTCAATAACACTTGGTTAAGTCATTAATTGAGTCTAGTCACATAGTCTAGTCACATGGTCTTGACACGAGTCTTAACATATCACCTACACTCACTAGTCTTAGCACACACTTTGAGTACACATATCACCATGACCATTTTTTAGGTTCATGCACGAGTCGGTTATTTCCGTGATTTGAGTTGGGGGGTACATTCTACTCCTAATTCTTCATATCCCTCCATCTACATCATTTTTTTCTTCACATTCTATTCCAATCTTTCTTCACTTCCTCCATCCATTGCATGTTGAATAGAGTTCGAGTCAAATAATTAACAATGAATATCCCCAAATTCATTTTCCACAGTACTTGGTCGAGGAGAGAAGGGCGATTAATCAAGGATAACCTCTTTATTCAAGTTTCACTTTTTGATAAACCAATTCGTCAAAAGAGGAAGGCTAAAAAGATAATGGCAACTCAAGAAGAAGTCAATGAGCTTAGGAACCAACTGGTTACCATGACTGAAACACTGAAGCTCCTCACACTTAAGGTCGATGATCCCGTGAAGCAACAACAAATGACCCTCATGCAAGAAAGTTTGAGGAAGCTATATAGTGACTATAAATTTCAGGGCATGAGTTCACAAGGGGTCTCGCTGGACAAGGAACTTCTTCCGCATAAGTTCAATGCCACTGACATCCCTAAATTCAAGGCAACAGATAACCCTTACTTTCATCTAAGAGCTTTTGAAACTATAATGAACATTAAGGGTATTGATAAGAAGGTTTTCCCCTCTCTGTTCTCACTATCTCTTGAAACCGTTTGCCAACAATGGTACTTCTCCCTTGACAAAGAGAAAACCTCTACCTGGGAATCGATAGTAAACGCTTTCGTTGATAGATACAAGTGCAATATTCAAGTTGAAACTGACTATAGATAACTTGAGATGCTAAGACAAAAAGAGAATGAAGGCTTTACTTCTTTCTTTGATAAATGGAGGGAAACTTCCGCTAAGATGATTGAAGTGCCCACTGAAAAAGAATATGTGAGGATGTTTATCAAGAATCTCCAAGAGAAGTCTTCGAAGCATCTAAAGTATCAACACAATCTGAATACTTTCAAGGCCGTTTACGACATCGGAATTGAAATCGAAGATGACCTCGCAAAGCAAAAAGCTACTAACAATAGTAACCACAGTGGCTGGAAAGGAAAGAAGAACGACAATCCTTCTTCTTCCGAAAATTCCCACTCTAGTAACAATGTTAGTACCTTTGATCTCAGTGAAGTTTTAGCCATGGATAACCAAGGATCTAAGAAGCAACTAAGGAAAGACTTCACCCCCATTGGGATGAGCTAGCCTTCGATCGACTCCATGCCAAAGGACTCATTACTCCCATTGGACCGATTCAAGATCCCGTACCTGAAAAGAGTTTGCCTAGTTGGAATCCAGACGAACACTGCAAGTACCATCAAGGTAGGGGTCATGCTACTGAGAGCTGGTTGGAAGCTAAAGGAGGCTATCCAACATTTGATTGATAATAACAAGCTTCCCATGCCTCTAGTTAACAACAAGAGCGAGTGATGATAAAGGAAACAACAAGAGGCGAGCCTCAACGACAAGATTTCGTGACCTCTTTTTTCTATTTCTTTTTTATTTTACCCTTTCCCCAATAAGTCTAGCATAAACACCTTTTTATTCTCCTTAGATTTATTTTGTAGGATCACTATATATTTTCTTTTAATAAAATGAGCATTTATTTCCTTAGATATGATCATTTCATTATATTGCATTAAAAAAAAAAATCATTGTCGAATTAAGCACAAGGCATACCAATGATTTGAGGCACCCCTTGTAGCCACATCATATTGCTTTCACCCTTCTAATTTACAATCCTTTCTTCATAAACCACTTTGAGCCTCGTCTAACGATAGACCCTTCATTTTTCAACCCATATCTACCTAACTTTGGAACGAGACAGTGTGCAACTTATGCAATTATAAAAAAGGCTTGAGAGAATTCAAAAGATTAAAATAGCAAAGACAAGCAAAAAAAAAAAAAATAAATAAATAAATAAAAGTGTACAAAAGGGCAAGTGTTCCAATGTCTTTGACATGAAAATGTCTTTGATAAGAACACGCCTCATATTGTGTCTCTTATCGAGTGCTCAGTACCGTGCCTGAGAAACATGAATACCAAGTGAGTGATAGACCGCAAGATCGGGATTGTCCACACTTATAAAATAAATAAATGCTAAAGCAAAAGAAAGAGCTAAAAAAAGAGTAGAAACTCAAGCAGGAAAATACAAATATTCAAAAGCAAGGTTGCATACCTTGGGGGCTTATCGAGGGTCTTGATCCTTTATCCCCTTCTTCTTCAAACCTTTAGCCTAACCACGTTACAACCCTTAAAAGACCTTTTTGAGGTATACATACTTGTGAGAGGTTCGACTAGAGATACGTTCGGCCTGATTCCTAACGGATACGTAGGTAACCTCACATCGAGGTGTGGTCGTAATAAAAATGCATTCATATTCACAATCACACACTTACACCATGATCATATCAAGGGATTTCCTATGCTCATC